TTGCCAACTTGCATTTTTCATGATTCATACATTTGCACCAAGAGGCTGCCGTTTGCGCTGGTGTGTTGTGTTGGGCGAAGAGGGGTGGTAGAGAGGCTAGACAGCTCCAGTCCTCCAACATGCACAAATTTCTAAAAAGTAAAAAAGGACCAAGAAACTACAAGTTACACTATAATGTCCACTAGCAACATCAGTTACTAAACGATCAGCTCATGCGATAACATTGCTAGCCAGGTAGTTGTAGAACGTCAGTACCGCCGGTCAGTGTCGTGCAATGTTATGGCATGAGCTGATTGTTTAGTAACTGGTGGTGTTAGTGGACATTATAGTGTAATTTGTAGTTTCTTGGTCTTTTTTGCTTTGTATAAATAATCCTTGGCTCTCCATCCGAGTTCATACCATACATATACATGCATATGTTCTGCTTGGTGCATGTGCAATGTTTTACAGTTGTCACGTATCATGCTATTGCTGTACCAGTTTTGTGTTTGTTTCTGATGCTTCCTCAACCTCTTTTTCACTCTCTCCATAGTTCATGCATGTATGAATATTATCTCCCCACAGCACTGTTCATTACCAAACCTTTCCCAGTGGTGACCATGCCTAAATTCATTCTTGATGTCCTTGTTGCTATAATTATCATTCCTGATGATGGGTATTTTATGACGGAAACGATGAAATATTTTCCTGATACGATATTGCGTGAGCCAGTGTTGCTCATAATCCACTTTCACTGATGAAGGTTAGTGACGCACAGGTTCACAGGTTCCTACATCTAGTACATGTAGTTATTTGCTTTACAAAACCGTGTTGCGTTCCGTCCTATGACTCCTATTTCATGTTTATTAATTAATGAAGAATTTCGAGACCAACAATGAAGAGATCGAGAGTGAATAGAAAGAATAAAGAAGCACGCGCATCCAGGACTCTCATGTTTGGCAAGGCCATCGCAGAGAGGTACAACGTCTGGTTAGACTACAGCAACAGCGACAACAATATGTGACTGTGTGAGAATGTCTGCACGTCTGGTGTTCAGTGATGTACGATTGAGAATCTACATAATAATAATAATATACCGCAAGTGAACAGGTCAAAACAAAACAAATGAAACACAAAGAGAGAATGAGCTACTGCTAACCATACGCCTGACAGTTCCTTCCTTCATGAGTCAGAGTCGATCCGGAACGCTCCAGGCCGAGGCACGTCCGTACCGTGACACCTCTATCTCTCCCAGACGGATCGGTTGAGCACGGCATGGGGACATGGCGATCAGTACTCACCAGCAGGCTTATTGGAGCTGCTGAGAGATTGAGCATGCGGGACGACAAACTGGCTGGACAGGGACGACGGTCAGGAGAGACAAGGAGCAGTGGCGTGACTGCTGATGAAGAATAGAGTTCACGAGTGGGACGAAACAAGTAGAGCGTAGTGCATGCCGAGCATGACTGGACTGACATTTAGTGTTACCAAACGTTTCAGAGTGACGACGACGATAACGAGACTGTCCCAGAGCTGGGGATGCTCGAACTGCTGCTAGCGGCAGAGAGGGTTCTTTCCTAATTCTACAGGCGTAGAAACCACAGCTGCCACCATGTTGTGTTCGCCTGGTGCCACGCAGGAGTCCCTTGTGGGTCTAGACAAAGACTGATTTATTTACAATGAGCATGCGTATCATAGATAAGAGAGAAGCAATGCGGAGAGGGACAATACGGCGACAAACACTATACACAACAGTTGAAAAGAAAAGAAAACAAACACTCACATGAGTCAATCGATTGCTGTTCTGGGGAACATTCTCTAGCCAATATGAAATCAAAGGTTATAAGCTTCTCGATAATCATGCACGGCGATGATACTACAGAGTACAGTAGAAAGTGTGACTGTGCGAGCGATGAAAATTCTATTTTTCCAAGCCGTGCGGTAGGGACTGTTCACCAAGCGAGCAGAGATTCCAGGTGTCAAGGACTCCGAGATTTTGCTGGATCGTGATGGAGAGGAATCATGTCAAAGTACAGAATGAGCCAACCATGAAGCCTGTTGCTTCATCGCTCCAGCCCAGTCTTCCAGCTGTACTGTGGAGACTTTTGTCTTTTTGGATAAGAGATAGTTCAGTAGTGAAGATATTCCGTGTGCAACATTGCTCAGTACACATACAATGGAGTTTGTTTTCCTCCATTTCTGTTTTTTCCCTCCCACATGTGTGTCTTTTCCAGGAATATTCCGACGCGAAACATACACTTCCTCCGCGTCATCGAAACTGTCGGAATTTGACTAGTGATTTGTCACTTGTTACTGACAACTCTATCAGCTAAACCATCCAAAAATTATTACACAGGAGGATAGTCTGAAGTGTAGAGTAACGTTCCAGGACAGGTAATATAGGCACACACCTCCACCGGGAAGGCCGGCTCAATCCAGCCTGGCAAGGCTATATCCAGATAATTATATCGATCTCATTGTTAGCTACTGTGTTGGTAACCAAGTCTCGGCCACACGGACAATGTCCCAGTCCATCAAATGCACCAAGTCCCACAGTTTATGTACTTTGTACTTCATAGCGTAGACTACAAGTGTTGAGGAATGCAATGGTCAAATCTTGCTCCGATGTTGCAAGCACTATTCTTGTAACAGTGGGTTGGAATGATGTAGCGTTTGGATTTAGAGGAACTAGGGCATGAGGAGCAGAGGTTGTGGAAAGATGGTACTGTTGTCAAGTTAGCACTCTAATGTTATTCCGTTGATTGTGACTTGTGCGCCACTGTTATCCGTATTTTCAGCACGTGAAACTTCGTCACTTTCAGCTGCAGTGGAGAAAGCGTTGGCGAGTTTGGCAGCCTGGGGAGTTGCTGGGAATGTATGCTTCCCTGATGCCATGGTGAATATTTTTGTCAGTGTCAGGTGACTGATGAGGTGCCTTCCCCTGCCACTGAAAAATCTGTTGCTCTCCTGGATTGGCGTCCTGGTCTCACTGCGTTCCTGGTGCAGTATCTGGGAAGCATATCAGTGGTTTGACAGGCTTGCACTTCGCCCTGAACTGGAGGCTGTCCAGCAGCTCCAACTGTAGTCATCTCAGAGTCAGCAGGTGAAGTAGCACGAGCCAGTACTTAACGCTCAGAGTCCAGAACTTGACCTGTACTCGACCTTGAACCAGCCTTATGAATGCGAGAGTATAGCGTGGAGTTGCTGGCAGATGCAGAGTTGTAGACGGTATGGTGGACTTAATAATAATAATAATAATAATACCACAGCACGCGTAATAATATAATTAAGTGGGTATAATTATACGTTCCGCTTCTGTCCTATCTCCTATGATCAAATTCCAGTATCAAGGTAATTATTAACACGGCGCACTGATGACCTGTGACGCCAGATCATGGATTGTCGGCCAGATTTCTCCATGTAAGCTTGTCCAGAGCGATGGCCCTCACATTCCCCAGCTGACTGCTGCGCTTCAAGTCGATGTTCCTCCTCTGTAAGTCGCTTGTGATGCGCGTCGCAATGGATGTCCTTGGACGTCCACGCCCAGCCTTGGCATCTCCCGCAAAATAGCCCGTCAGCGCGATCCATGGCGGCGCATCCCTGTCCATACGGAGAATATGGCCGGTTAGCTGCCATCTTCTCCTGTCCACGATGTCAGATAGTGGTTCCGTGTTGCACCTCTCATACAGCTCAGTATTTGACATCCTGGCTGGGTAGACTATGCCAATGAGCCGTCGGAGCTGCTTCCGGTGGAAAACGTTAAGCGATTCTGCTTGTGCTGCCGTGAGCCCCCATGCGCCGCAGTTATACAAAAGAACGGGCAGAACCAGGGCATTATACAGGCGGATGCGCCTCTGCTCACTGACCTTCCCACGCCTCAGCCAGAGGCTATACATCCTGCCGTATGCACTCGAAGCGAGGTCTTTCCTCCGCTCCAGGTCCTCACTGTCGCCAATGAGGGACCCTAGCTGCCTGCTGGACCGCCAGGAGTCTGAAGTTGATGTCAGATGCAAGAATTCGGTCTTGGTCTCGTTTACTGTAAGGGACCAATCCCCGAGTTCTGCGCTAATGATGGGGAGGCTTCGCTTCAGCCACTCCTCACTGGTTGAGTACAATGGGTGGACTTGGGTACAACATTTACAAATACAGTGCCAGTCGTGAACTTCATCCATCCACAGGCTTCTCTTCCCGCTTTGGGACACCACATATATGGACAGAGACTACAGTTCCATCACCAACCAACAGTACTAATAATTAAGCTCCGTCGACTATGAGCCCTCTGGATAACACCTCGTCTCTGACAGAAGTGCAGGAGAACGAAAATCTACAAACTCTTCGCCTTCCGCTAAGGTCAATTTGTTTTATTTCATCTGGTTTGACACCAGAGGAAAGCAACTGGCTACTCATGCTGCCCTCTGTTGCCCCGGCATGCGTTCAACCAGATACAACAGCAACTCGTAACAGTATGAGACCAAGAACTTTCTCCTCTGAGATAAACTGCAAGAACCAAAACTGTAAACTGCTTCCTACAGTTCAAAACTGACAACTAACAAACTTCAAAGGCATGGAAGTATACATTCTAGAATGACGAAAGCGAGAGCGCAATCGCAGCCTGCGAGTATGCACAGGACTGTGCACAAATGCAAAGACGAGTGAATATATTACGACTAGATAGCATGGAGACAGCACATGCATCAAACGATACGCTACTTGAATCTCAGACAATGCAAAGGTTGAGACTGGCCTGCGGTAACAATAGTCAATACATCAGGCGCCAGCAGCATGCACTAGAATAAAAGAAATGAAACCTGAGTTCAATGAAAGGTAATGCAAGATTCACCACAAGCTGGGAATATTCCAGAACATATCCCCCTTCACTCACGAGCACAGGGTCAGCAAACAAACTGTGACGAGTGAGTACTACTACGGTACTGTATGATGAAAGAAAAACTTCATAGGTTGAGAGAGAGAGAGTACTGTCACAGGGCTGCCTGTAGCACTTCAGATACACAAGGCACAAACTACTCGGTGTCCAGAATAGGTACTAGATGGTGGATAGACCGTCGGTAGATCTTGTCGTCGATCTTAATATCCACTACTCGGACGAGCTTGTCTGCACCAGGATGCACTGCTGTGACTCTACCCATGGGCCATGTTCCACGGGGAGTGTTTGATGTAAGACACAGCATGATGTCACCTACGGCTACATTGCGACCTTGACGTTGCCACTTACGACGGACATTCAACAAGGGAACATACTCATCTCGCCACCTGTTCCACACGTCTGCTACAAGCCGCTGAACATACAACCAACGTTTGCGTGGGTCTCTGCAGGGGTGCTCGTCTGCTTTCACTTCCAGAGCCATTGGTGGGTCGAGTCGTCCGACGAGGAAATGTGCTGGTGTTAGAGGCTGCAAATCAGCTGCATCGGCACTTACAACTGTCAGCGGGCGCGAGTTCATCATGCCCTCAACCTGGCACATGGCAGTCACTAACTCTTCATCTGTGACGTCCGCTTTCCCAAGTACTGCTGTGAGTCCGCGCTTAGCCGTCTTGATGAGGGATTCGAATACGCCGCCGAAATGTGGTGCTCTAGGTGGGTTGAAGCGCCATCGCACGCCATCACTGACCAGTCTCTTCTCGATCTTCTCCTTGTCCATGGCCCGGACGGCCTCACGGAGTTCTCGCTCCGCGGCAGTGAAGTTGGTCCCGTTGTCGCTGACCATTTCAAGCGGGACACCACGGCGCTTTGTGAATCTCTCAAATGCTAACAGGAATGACTCAGTGGAAAGGCCATAGGATACCTCTAGGTGACAGGCACGAGTCTCAAGGCAAGTGAACAGGCACAGGTACCGCTTAGCCTGCGTCTTACCTCGGCCCTGCTTGGTCAGGAAGGGACCCGCGTAATCAACTCCTGTACGTCTGAACGGTTTCAACGGGCCTGCAACTCGGAAGTCTGGAATCTGGCCCATCATCTGGGACGCTGGCTCCGCACGGTTCTTACGGCAAGTAACGCAGTTGCTTCGAACGGCCTTGACTGTCGATGTTCCGTGAACAATCCAGTAGCGTTGTCGCAGATTGGCCAGAAGATGCTGTGGCCCAACTGCATGGAAGCACCGATGATCTTCCTGTTCGATTATCAGCTGGGTTACTCGGTGCTTTGCTGGTAGGATGACTGGGTGGCGTACGCCACTTGGCATGTTCTTTGTAGCTTGCAATCGACCTCCTACCGTCATCAGGGGTGACTCTGTTGCACTATCGAACTGGGGACAGAGAGGTGCCAGAGGGTCCGATTTCAACATCGGTTGCCTAGACTGTAGACGATGGTATGCTGTACCATGGCAATCCTTCTGGGCAGTTGCAATCCAGTGCCGCTCTGCTACTGATACTTCGTCAGTGCTGAGAACTGGAACACTGATGGAGCGGGTGCCGCCAAGCTGTACTGGCATTCTCACTGGCGTGCTGGACTGGCTGTCCGATGCGGCATCCCCCTTCGTGGACTTGCTGTCACTGACTGCCTGCCGACAGTTTGCCACAAATCGCTTGCACCATGCTGTCACGCGTACCAGTCGCGACCATGTGCTAAAGCGACCCAGGATCTCGGAGGGTGGAGGGACGACTGCAACTAGCGCCGTCTTGAGCTGACCAGGCAGCGAGGATGTGCTGACTTCCTTCATCTGAGGCCACTCATCTGGCTGCTGGCGAAGAAACTGTGGACCGGACCACCACACTGCGTCACGGCACAGTAATGCAGCAGACAAACCACGAGTACCTTTGTCTGCAGGGTTGTTCTTTCGGGGAACATGTCGCCACTGGTGTGCTCTCGTTGAGGTCTGGAGCTCAGAGATTCGGTTGCCAATGTCCACTTTGTAGCGCCGGCTGTGGCTTTGGACCCAGCCCAAGACGTTCATCGAGTCCGTCCAAAATGTGTGAGCTGACACTGGGATACCGATGGATTCAGCGACGAGATGACTAACGCGAACGCCAAGCACAGCTGCTCTCAGTTCAAGCTGCGGGATCGTCTGTCGCCTCACTGGTGCCGGCTTCGCTTTCGACATCGCTAGCGTTATTCGGGTGGTACCGTCTGGGTAGCTGGCTCTGACATACACAGCGGCTGCTATCGCCCGATCTGAGGCGTCGGAGAAGCAGTGCACGGAAAGACTGGCGTCTTCGGATGGCTGTTGTGGATCCTTGAAACAGCGGCTGATCTCCAGGTTACTCAGGTCTGGGAGGCCTTGGAACCAACCCTGCCACTTGACGACTTGTTCCTTTGGCAGCAGGTCGTCCCATCCCTGTCCCAGCAACCAGGCATCCTGCAGGAGTACCTTAGCCGTGATGACGTATGGCGAGATCAGGCCACGCGGATCGAATATGGAGGCCAGGCCGCGCAACACAGAGCGTCGGGTGAATGTCGTGATGTCCTTCATTTGATGCTGGAAGGTGAAGGCATCCTTCTCGGCGTTCCAACTGACGCCGAGAGTCTTGACAGTTGGGAGGCTGGTGTCACTGTCCACATCTCGGACAACATCAGGTGACCTATCTTCCTCTGGTATGGTGTTCATCACTTCAGCTTTGTTCGACAGCCATTTTCGCATGTGAAAACCGCCCTTGGCAAGTAGCTGCTGCGTTTGCTCTCTGGCCTGGATGGCACGCTGTGTGGATGGTAGTGATGACAGCATGTCGTCAACGTAGAGGTCTTTGCTTAGGCACTGCACGACGTCAGAGTCGTACTCATCACCGTGGTGCTTGATGACCTCTTTCACCGCTCGTCCTGCCAGATACGGTGACGCCTTAGCGCCGAAGAGCACACGGGTGAACTGATACACCTGCACTTGGCCATTGTCATCATACCACAGAAAGCGATGATAGCGCTGGTCACGTTCCGCCAGTTTGACTTGGAGGAACATCTCCGACACATCACCAACAAGCGCAACTGGTTCCAAAGAGAATCGGATCAACACGCTGGTCATGTCGTTTTGAAGTGCAGGACCTGTAAACATCTCATCGTTGATGGAGTGTCCATCCCAGCGGGCTGCACCGTCAAATACTATTCTCACTTTTGACGTGGATTTATCTGAGCGTACTACCGGGAAATGGGGTAGGTACCACTGGTCGTTGCCGTCTTTGGCTATCTCATCCGGGTCCACGCGTCTCACGTAACCCTTGGCAATGTGTTTCTGCATAACGTCAGAGTACTGCTGATTCACGGCTGGCCGTGACTGTAGCGAGCGTTGTAGACTGCGGAGCCGCTGCTCAGCCTGAGCTCTGTTGGACCTGACACGTGGCTTACCGCTGTCATTGACTCATGGGATTCGGACAGTTACCCGGTTGCCGTTGCAGCTGATTGATTGGCTCGTGAGCTCCTCGGCTCTTCTGTCATCGGGTGAAGGCGTCTCCTGTAGTGGGTTATCTGTGCCCGCCGAATCATCTCGCCAGAACTTCTCTACTAGCTCGGTCAGCCCATCAGTTAGCACTGTGTTAGTAGCTGGTGTAGTAGCTGTGATTGCACGAGTGGTGTCGACTCCTGTACCAATGCACACCCACCCGAGAGGAGTTCGTCGAGCAATGGGCGCTCTTGCTGTTTCTGCTCGCCGTTCTTCTAGAGTAGCATGAAGCTCGATGGCATTCAGGCCGATAAGCGCGTCGATCTGACTGCCCTTGATGGATGGGAAGTCAATATCACTGAGATGCGGCCAGCTGCTCTTGTGCTGATTCCAGTTCACTGCCGGTAATGGCACGGTGACGGTGGGCAGAACCCAAGCTTCAAGCTTGTTTATGGTCTTGTCGCCCAGAGCCGCCACTTGGATCTGTACATGCTCACGTCTTGCTGCGGTCTGCTTGCCGCCTACTCCGGAAGTGACGAGCTGCCGCTTGGGTCCACGCACATTGAGGGCTGTTGCCACGGACTGCTGGACATAACTCGTGGACGATGCTGGGTCCAGGAGTGCATTACCTTGGAGGCTCACACCATTGTGTCGGAATACAACAGGCACAACCATGAATGACTCGCCACTGTCAATCTCTGGCTGATGACTTGCGCAATGTGTTGTAGCAATCTTGGCAGGACCGCCACTGCTGGCCGAAGCTGCGTTGGCCTTGATTGCGGCATTTGATGGGTCTGCAGCGGAATCCGAGCGTCGGATGTTGTAGTGTAGCATGTCATGATGCGTGCGGCTGCACTTTGAACAGGGTTGCCTGGTACAAGTCTTTGCGCGATGATTGAGACTGAAGCATAGGGCGCAGACATCTGGCTTGGACTTGATGACTTTCCATCGGTCCCTGACCTCCATCTTAATGAAATCGGGGCAGCGGTGGAGCTGATGCGCCTTGCCACACGAGGGGCAGCTTCTGTCGGCACCTGCATCCTTGCTAGTTGCCACAAATGTTCGTTCAGACTTTGTAGCACTCTGCTTCGACCATGATCTTGCTGGTGCTGGTGCTGAGGCAGTGACTTCTGTCGACCGGAGTCGTTCATCGGCACGGCGTAGTGTGTTGACGCGTCTGAGGAGCCACTGTGTTAGCTGGTAAATATCACAGTCAGCATCGTCATACTTCTCCATGTACCTAAGCAACAGCGATTTCGGCAACTTCTGCGTAACCGATAGGTACAACTCACGGCCCGGTGTTACTGCACACATCTCCATATTCATGAGCATCGTCCGGAGTCTGAGGACAAACTTGGCAAAGTTGTCGTCTGACTCTTTTAGCTTCGGCCACTGCAAAATCTCCTTCTCTTGGCGCTCAACAGTGCGATTGTCGCCGCCATACCATGCATCTAGCTCCCTAAGGATGGTGTGGTAGGCTCCTGGGCCGTCAAGCACGCCATCAACAAGGTCGCTGGCCGTGCCATGCATGAGACACTCACGCAGTTGTGCAAGTTTGTACGCTTCAGTCGTTAGTGGATCTTCGTCAACAACGCGGCGAAAGTTCTGCTTCCACCGGTCGTAGTCACTAGTCTTGCCAGAGAACTTTGGTAGCTCCAGTGGCTTCACGTGAAAGCTGAAACTAGCAGGGTGTAGTGTCTGCAGTTGAGGTCGGTAGGGCATGAAGGACTCTGCTTGCGGGTTTAGCACCTGCTTGGAGTGTTCTTGCACTGCCACTGGTGTTGGTGGCTGCTGTTTGGCCACTGCTGTATGCTTCTGTGGTGTATGCCATGGTGGTGTTGCATTCAGCATTGATACTGCCTTCTTGTTACTGCCAGGCAGTCTTGATTGTACTGCTGCACTGCTTATTGCTGGCTGTACAGGCACTGCATTAATACTAGCTGCCTGTATGGACACTGTAGTACGTCCTACAGGCGCACCACTGGCCATTGACTTCTTGGCTGGCACTACTGACAGCACTGTACTGGTCACAGACTTTTGAGCGGGCGCGCGCATGAATGCTTGCGCCACTGCCCCCAGGGCAGGCACGCCAAACGCACTGACACTGCATGTACTTGACTGAGCTGGGCTGTCTTCCGCCACACCTAATACAGCCTCAGGTTGTGTGGGCGCATTCACAGTACGAAACGTACCTTGCAAACTCCTTGGCTTGCCGTGGTCGCGTTGTCCGTTCACTCCACCGACATCACTCATCGTTCTGAAGTGCTCACGCGGTGGTAATACGAATTTTCGACCAGGTCCGGCCAACTTGTCGTGCTCAGCAAGACTCTTGGCAGTCAATATTGCCCTGCCACTGGATGCAGCGTTTCCAGTCTCTGATTTGCGAGACGACACTTTGCTCCCTGACCCGGATCGTAGTGCAGCTGCAGATTCAGCCTCGGCTCTTCGAACCTCCAGTTCCTTCTGCACCAAACTTGTCTCACGAGCCAACTTGCGTGTCTCGGCTTCCTCCTCCAGCTCAGCGATTTGCTTTGCAGCCTCAAGTTCTACACGAAGCATCTCTGCACGAAGTGACGCCTGCGACGCAGCAGTTCCTGAAACTTTCGAGGGCGCATGTCCTGCAGAGCTCACGCTGTCCGGAACGTCACTCCAGTTATCAAACCCGTATCTGCTTGGCGGTCTCCCTTTGGTAGACCGCGAGCTCCGTCTACACTCAGCGCCTGGGACTTGCTCGTCGTCGCGCAGGACTTCTTGGATCTGGCTCTGAGATCCGGCTCGAATAGGACCACTATGGCTACTCATGCTGCCCTCTGTTGCCTCGGCATGCGTTCAACCAGATACAACAGCAACTCGTAACAGTATGAGACCAAGAACTTTCTCCTCTGAGATAAAACTGCAAGAACCAAAACTGTAAACTGCTTCCTACAGTTCAAAACTGACAACTAACAAACTTCAAAGGCATGGAAGGATACATTCTAGAATGACGAAAGCGAGAGCGCAATCGCAGCCTGCGAGTATCCACAGGACTGTGCACAAATGCAAAGACGAGTGAATATATTACGACTAGAAAGCATGGAGACAGCACATGCATCAAACGATACGCTACTTGAATCTCAGACAATGCAAAGGTTGAGACTGGCCTGCGGTAACAATAGTCAATACATCAGGCGCCAGCAGCATGCACTAGAATAAAAGAAATGAAACCTGAGTTCAATGAAAGGTCATGCAAGATTCACCACAAGCTGGGAATATTCCAGAACAGCAACAGTCTAATAAAAAAAGGCATGGTTCTTCGAGGGAAGGTTGCCACTCAGCTATATAGAACGTACTCGAGACATTTCTAACAGTAATGCATACACGCAGGTTTGAATGATTCCAGAGCACAAAAAAACTGCATCCACTCGCCAGCTGGTGTTGGGGCTGCTGGGGTGGTAACATCCTCTGTAGAAGGTGATGTGCATCTGGACAATGCATATTGTACAGGAGGCCAATGTAGGATCCCTTACGATTAGGCGATGGCCACCCTGTTGGATGAGGCGAGCCAGAGTGGTTTGTTTAGCGCTCATACAAATGACCATGCCATACTCCAGCACCGGGTGGACAAAACGCTTGTGGATCTTACAATGGCACCTGGAGTCCAGCACTCGAGAGGATTTCGGAGTTAGCCGAGATGCTGCGATCCTCGAATAGCCAACTTGGAAACATATACCAGGTCTCTTCAAGACATTGGACTTACGAGCGGGTTTGAGGTGACGCAAGTAACTCATTATTGTTGACTGCTGGTTAAGTTGACAGGACAAACCTCGGTTTCTTCAACAACATTCTCAAAACTAATGGTTTCGCGAGTAAACTTCCATACCTTCTCCTCAGGTGATATTCAAGCAAGACCAAACAAGAACAAATACAATGACTTATGTACAGCAATGAGGTGATATAACCGGGTCAAAGCAGACGATGTTTAATTAATGCGAGACCAATATACATCATGCAAATACATAATTCATTGTTCTTGCTCTCGTTTTCTCGTGCCGGTATATCACCTTGTTGATGTGGAAGGAGACAGTGTACGGGAGAAGGTACGTCACAACCTGAAAAGAAGGCACGGAAGTTTCCTCGCAAAAAACATTAATTTTCATAATGTTGAAGAGCCTGAAGTTTGTGCTACTACTGTCGTGGACATGGCAATCCAGTCGATAGACCTCGGCCGGCGGCCTAAGGGCTGGGTTCCACTGCGGCTCCGCGGCTCCGCTGCTCCGCTGCTCCGCTGCTCCGCGGCAATTGGCAGCATGCAGCGGAGCTGCGCGGTTCCACTGACACTCGCCATTCGCAGTACCGCGGTTGTGCTCTACTTTTTTTGTTTTTTATTTTTTATTGGAAAACCACAAACCTTCAGACATGTGAATGTGCACATGATATACAGTGTACATACGTATGTATCAAGAAGGCAGCACGGAAACGGCAGTGGTGGTGAGGCCTGGGCAGTTCGTCCGACCGTGGGTCTCCGAGTCAACACTGATTGTGGATACCTGCCTACCCGCGTGAAATAAATAAATCCTCGTCATCCGGCCTGCGCAACGCATTAAAATTTACAATTCTCGCGTACAAAACAATGCAAAATACGGGAAACAGGTCGAGCCCCGACCGCGGGTCGCAGTTTTTGATCAAGAATCATAGAGAAAGCTCACGGTGAACCGCGGCCTCACTGCTCCAGCTCAAGCCGTGGTCACTATGGTAATGATGACGTTTCAAGCAGCGGATGACGAGCAGCGGAGCCCCAGTGGAACCTGGCCCTAAGCGCTTACAGATCGTTGCGTGTAGTGCAGAATCGTCATGTTGATTTGATGCGATCAGCAGCGCAT